GTGTAAATATTAACGTGAGAGAAGTCTAATTACATTTTTGTAATTTTTGAAAAAACGAAAGAATAGAGCAAACAGATGTTTGTGATCTCTTAGCGTGGATTTAGCACTATCTCTACCATACGTTTAAAAACTAAAATCGGAGCTTTTGAAAAAATGTTTTTTTAAATTACACTTATCGCACGTAATAGTTCTCGAAAACTAAAATTTTCAAATAAACGTACATGACCTTATTGAAAGAATTAATTATAGTCAACAAATTTCATTTAAAAGAAAAACCTCTCTTTCATTTCGTAGTTGTAGGAAGACACAGGAAATAAACTTTTGAAATTTCCGAAAATGCAGAGTTAACCCTGAAAATTGGACCCGTGCGAACATTATAAGCGTATTTTACTCCATTCTTACAAGACATTAAAAAAAAAATACTTGGAGCCGTTTTTCAGAAAACATTGAAAGTGTCCCGAGGGCCTTGATCTATAGTACACCCAAATTTTAAGGAAAGTTTTCCAAAATCCCGGCGTCTCTAGTGGAGTCAGATCGACTGGGGAATCTCCGTTATGGAAAAAGACATAGTTTTATGTATTAGGGGACCTCAGAACTTGTATTTACGTTGAAATCTCCAAGTCAATTTTCCGCAATATTACATAACTTTCCCTAAACTACGTAAATTACTCAGTTTACATGTATGTATACGGGATAGTAAAAAGAATGTTGAAAAGTTTCCAACTAAGACGGATAGATGTTGATGTATTGGAGATCAAAGTTGGGATCCATTTTGTAGGTTAATCTAATGACATATTTTATCACTTTCACTTTTCCGTGTTTCTGTGAAAACTATCTCAAAAACGCAATTATTGTTTACAACAGATAGTGCTAATTGCACTGTTTAAGGTGATATAGAATTAATTTTGCGGAATTATTTTGTTTTCCCCCAAAAAATTATGCAAATGAAATATATTTAAAATCTGTTGCGCCTTTAATACGCACATTTCCAGAAATTTGTAAACAATTTTCCATTTGTGAACGGAAGTACTTGAAATAAATCCATAAAACGTTTTTTGAAAACAGATATTTGTGAGACGGGGTTCAAATTTCGAATTCTTGTATTGTTTCCAGTATGCAGCCTATAGACTTCTTACCTAAAAAACCTAGTTGTACAAAGACCTAAAAAATTAAGTTGTACAAAGCAACACCTAGAGAAATATCTTATGAAAAGCCACTGGAACCAAAACAATGGAGACATCCGGCTGAAATGATCTGACTGACAGCCCGACTTCTGGAATACAAATATATGCAGATGGAAGTAAATCAGGGGATTAGGTGGGAGCAGCAGCAGTCATATTTCAAGAGGACAAACAAATCATGGAATTAAAGTATAGACTAAGTTAAAAATGTCCAAATAATCAGGCTGAAGAAATTGCAATATTAAAATCTCTACAAATTCTTATAAACCTACCAGAAACAATAACAAAACAGTTCCAATAAATAGTAAGTAAGGTCGCATTGGCAATTTTGGCAAATATTTATTTAAAACATACCCCAATAATAAAATCCATAGTAAATACAATTAAAAACCTTGAAGAGTGTGAATGGCAAATATATTTTCGGTGGGTAAAAGCGCATGTGGGCATTAGAGGTAATGAAGTAGCAGAAATTCTAGCAAAACATAATTACACACATTTACCAATTGTACATGACAAAATTTCAAAATCTATATTAGTAAATGGATTTAACTATGAAGCAATTCAAATCTGGCAGAATAAATGGAACCACACAACGAAAAGTAAAATCATTTTTTCCGAATATTAAAGACAGATTAAGACAAGAATTACCTATAACTCCAGAATTTACGTTAATATTAAGAGGACACGGACACACTAAATTGTATCTATACAGGTTTTTTATTATATGCGTATGTGGTAGGGGTGACCAGTATACCATGTTCACTACTCGAAGAAAGGAAGAAACTAATACAGAAAATGAAGTTGGGATACTGAACAGCTAAGAAATTTAACAATTTTATTCAGAGCATTAAACAAATAGTATTTACATAAATCTAGTCTTTAAATTGTCTTAAATTTTATAGATGTAATTTCATGTTAAATATTTTCATGATAATTTATTTTTATTTTAAGTATTTTCATATTGATGTATTTCATGTTTCAGATCTGTTAAACATCCTTTACTGTTAAAAAACTAAACTGTACATGCAAATGAAAACATGTAGTGTTACTTGTAACGGATCATTATGTAAAATAAAGTGTATAATTTAAAAAAAACGGAGAGAGCAGAGACGACACGCAGAGACGACACGCAGAGACGACACGCAGAGACGACACGCAGAGACGACACGCAGAGACATTACATTCGGAAGCCAAAAAATTATGCTTTAAGGGCAAACTCATTCAAACCTATTCATTGTAATTATTCATTCATACCTAATTGTAATCACATTTGAGTTTCTTAAAAATTCGAATGTTTTGCATAGTTATTACACAGAATTAACTTTTGGAATTAATTTCATTATGTAATAAAGACGTATATGTTAAATAATTGTGATGGTTCTGTCAGTGGGGTAACTTTCGGGCACACAAGGGTCGCAATGCGGGCAGGTCCAGGTAAAAAGGGACCTATTTTAATGAGTATTTACACTACTTCGAAAGTTACTCCCAATTTTATAAAGGGCATTCGAAAACACTTTGTGCCGACAGGTCCGCCCTTATTTCGTTGCGCTCCAGGGTACTGTTCTTCCCTGTGTGAAAACGTCTTTTCGTCACTGGCACAATTTATTGTGGAACATTGATGTAAGTTGCCATGACTTATCAGCCCATTGAACTCCTAGCCCTACCGCTACAAGTGGGTAGATTTTTCAATAATTCGAAGTAATATTTTAAGTACATAAAATGTGGGAAAATTATTAAATTGATAACATTGTTGGATAATAGAAAAATGCATAATACTGTAATTTACGACAAGCTTAGAAATGAGTCTTCAATTCCATCACTGGCATACGAAAGAGACCTACACGTAATTCTTTCAACAGAGTCTTCCATTTCCCTTACCTTCCTGGTGAGATATGAACATCGGATGTCGGGCTTATCTACTTGCGGAGAGTCGCGAGTGATAAGTTGCTTCGCGAATCTGAGCCGAGTGCTCACCCATGACTCACCGGTTACCTAAAACACGCCGCTTCTTTTCTTTGTGAAAAGAATTACGAAGAAACTGAGCTTTTGGTATCTAATGATTCGGAACGTCAAATTCAAAAATAAATGACATCCTCGGTCAGGAACTAGTAAAAAAATAGAGCTCCGGGGCCGAACGACTGCAGTAAGTGAAAGCGAAAATAAAATATGGCTGAAAGAATGGCTGGCTGAAAGAAAATAGAAATACATTTAAGAAAAAAGGCTTAGACAGTTAAATATGCCTTAAAACACATTTACGTGAAAATAGGCAAAAATATATTTGCCAGGATTGTAATTTTTCCATTATTTTTGCTCATATGCCAAAGCCTCCGGCTATCTACGAAGACTACAGATACCGCTAGCTCGCTTATGCATTTGTCACCGTACAAATCTGGCGAATCGCAAAAAGCCTTTGCAAGGCATCCAGTGACGCCTCCAACATTAATTCGACGCTGTCAGCGCACCCCGAGTACAGGCCTATTTCGGTATCGTTCGTTCTCGATAATGGCAGTTCCGGAACCGGCATTCTCGGACACAGTAGTATCACGGCCTGGTCTCGTCGCCGGGAACGAAAGAATCTGAGGACGGCTCTATTTCAAATACATCTTCATTGGTGCGTAATAAAAACTATTTCCTTTTGAAGACGAGAACTCGTGTTCGTGTTTTTCTTAAAAAATATCTAAAGAAATGGCCGAAGCAGGTCTAGATCAATCACAGGAGATACCTCGCATTCTTGAGAATGTTAGCACGCAAATTAATGAGAAGTTGCGAAGGCTTGACTGATATTCGGGAGATTGGCATTGCTTCTTAAAATCTAGCGGCCGACTTCGTATCTTATACCCCCCACTCTATCCGCATTTCTCCTAGCCATCGGTCAAGGTTAAATTACAACATTCGTCTCCCATAGATATGGTTTCGAGACAACCTGAATTCGTGCATCTCACACTATTCACGTTTTTGTTAATATTTTATTCTAGAGGTAAAATTAGTATAATCCAACTCATATTACTAATGCAGGAAAGCTTCTGTCTACTTAACCCAGAATTTAATAAAAACTGTAAAATTTAGTTAAAAATTCTCTAAATTATGACGACGTATGGTTATTGGTTAAAATACTTTTAAAAATATTATATATTATAATAATTGTCAATCTATTATCTGTATTTTCTTTGAAACACAGACTTAATGATGGCTAAGAAACATTTAGCCGAAAAGTTGCCGACTGCCTAGTTATAATGAAGATTTAAAAGACAGGATAAAATAAGTTTGTGTGAAAAGGTGAATGTCTTCAATTGAAAAGGAACTGTTTTTTATACTCTTTTATCGTATTTTGGTTTAAGGTTTATTCACACTTTTATCATATATGTGCATTTCTACTGATGGTTTTGATTACACCCTTAATAAATTCTGTTGTAAATCAACGGTTGAAATAAATGATATAAACTAGTGATACAATTCATATCATTAAAGTAATTACTCACCTTATTAATTAGTCATTGTTCATTAATATTTGAGAATGTAACCTTGTTGACAGGGGCGTCGAGAAGAGGGCGGCAGCTTTACCTCAACAGGCTGCTACGTAATAAGGGACTCCGATTTTTTTAAATTCAACACGTATATTTATTTCTAATTCAGATTAACCGCTACGTTATTTACTTGTATGAAGAAATAGAAGCTGGTTTATGTATTGGAGGGCGGGAATTTTTGTTTCAAGGGTAGTAGCACTTATGTGCTACTACCCTAGGCCTGTTGTGTTCTCTGGCGCTCCTGCTTTTAATGCTAATATTACTTATATTGTAATGGAATTCATTTCTTTTACAGAGATCTTCAAGCAAACAACCTTACAGTTCTCTTCGAAACAGACTTTGAGGAAATGACCAATCTACGGATTTTGTGAGTATGAAATTATATACCCAATACTTAACAGTATTTCAATCGACCTTTTAGAGTGCACATTTTTTTTCTTGCCTTCTAATGAAATGATCAATTCCATTGCGGACAAGTAACTCCTGCACCCCTAACTATCCTCTTACAGTTTTTGTCACCTTTGGCTATCTTGCAGTATTAATAAATAATGTGTAAGCGGAATCCAAAATAATAGAAATCTGTGCTGCATTGTATTAACATGAAGTACAATTTTAAGTTTACTTAAAATTGGTAGGTAATTGTTGGTCAGCAACAATTATATTCAATATTATAATGTATTAAATATACTGTCAGCGATGGCAATATTGCGTTTTTTCCCCATGCCTTTTTCCCCGTTCAGCGTTAAACTTTTAGGTGTAGTCCGTATTGCATGTAATTCCAATGTCGAAAAAATAAGTGTTGAATTTTTTCTGTTGTTTTCTTTCTATTTTTTTTTTTTTTGAGATGAAAAACATTTTCAGCCGGTGACAAGGAAGTTACTTTTAGAATAGTAGAAGTTGCGGTGGTGGTGTAAGGGATACTTTTGGGTTTTGCTCGACCCATTTCCGGCTGTCATGTATTTGCACCTGAGCTTCCACGGGGCCACTTCCACCAGGGCCTTCCACTCACCAGGGCACTTCACCCGGGGGATCGGATCCTATGTTCGATGTAGCCCATATGCCTATCACCCTGCTTTAGCCATTATTATTAGTGTGGCAAGCCAGTTTTTCGATCAAGCACAGAAATTGAACACAACTCACATGTGGTCGGTCAGGGCAAGGCACGAATGAATGATAAGGATTGGATGCATGAGGTACTGAGAGTATTCCCCATGTTACAAATGCACCCTAAATACAATACACACGTACCCCCACCTCTAGCCTCAGTGGGTTTGGGCACACCTGCCCCAAACCCATGTACCAGCAATCAGACTGAAAGGTACTTTTGTATTGAACGCAATAACTCAATGAGTTAACTCCTTGCAATTCGTATTTAAGAGAAAATAATTTAGATCGACTTTCTACTATCCTCAGAAAAACAACATATGTTCATTGCCAAAAAACTTCTGGGAATTGTGAGTTTAATCTAGGTGTGCCCAATGGAGTCGATATCGAACCCCTGGGGTGGGATAAAATTTTAAATCCGGCCATTAGCGATCAAGGAGTTAATTGGGAGTCGATGGATATCTACCGGCAACTGACCAGTATAATAAAGATAACAATCACGTTCATTACAAATACTCGTAATATCAACCCTTCGATGCACGGAGCTAGGATTTTGAGAGTTTCCACTTACTCTGTGGGCCGCAGAAGGTTAATAGGGTGAATATTTTTTGTAATGAATGTGATAGTTTGCTTACACTTTCAATAACCTGTTACGGGTAAACAGACTTCCGGACCTTGGAGGCCGTCTAAGTACACTGAAGAGTTAATGGTGTTGATGAATTGTGTGCTTTCATTGAACTCCAAATATCTAATGATAACATTAGGGAACCAGATTTTTACCTCCCGGAAGGTTAAGTGCACAACATACTCAATTTTATAAGTAGATTACGAATGTCACATTAAAAAGTTATATTAGGTCACGGTTTTTAAATATACCTTATGATACCGTATTATCCTATTAATGATGATGCAGATTCTGAATCAGACGGTGACATGCGGAACTGTCCCCACAGTGTGCGTGATGTTGTCTGGTTGGAGTGTGCCTCAAATACATTGCAGTTCAGTAATTTTTTTAAAGTGAAATTCACCACATGGTCTGCAGAATTGAATCGCTTCGATAAAATGTAAATCGTTATTTCACAGCCAAAGTGTGCGAATTAACCTGATAACTTCTGTTACGTTTGTGGAAAAATTAAACCGAAACTTCAAAGGAAAAAATGACATTACAAAGATTGCGTACTCTTTATATTTGGCTGATGTGTTCGTGATCAAGAGAAACACTTGGGTTGCTTACTAGTGTTGTGTGACCTATACAACGAACCTTAGGTTGTGGTTGTATTGGGCTCTGGTTGTACAGCAACGTGTTGTAAAACTCAAATCATTGTCATTCGCTCTACCAATGTTGTGAAGAATGCCAACAAACCATTTTAATGTCGAAAAATTGTACATGGCCTTATTTCAAATCTATCTTTAAGGAACAGATTTCATTATTTCTTTAATATTTTAGTTGTAGCAGGACTCCGGAAATATGAATGATTGAATGAAAACTGAATGGCACAGATTTTCCCATATTAGTTTTCTATTTCGTTTGGTCTCGGCTGGCAATTCTGACTTGCCAGCTGCCATCTACCGCCGCCCAAAGTAAATTTTTTGTCATTTTCTCCGCGAGCTGAGAGCGAAACCTTCGAGAAAGAAATAAGGATCTCTGAAACGTTCAAACGATATCGATGCTATGGTTGCCCATGTTACTAATGCCGTTCTTCATGTGGCCTCACTTGCCATCCCCAAGACGTCGGGTCACCCACGCCATCCTCCCGTGCCATGGTGGAATGCGGACTGTGCCACCGCGGTGCGGGATCGGAAACGGGCTTTGGCAAAGCTTAGCAAGTTCCCAACCTTGTATATACTACTTAATTATAGAAGATCCCGAACCAGAGCTAGATTGACCATACGGCCAAGTATTGCCGCGTCCTGGAGAGCGTAGATTTCATCACTCTTTCTATACACCCTAAAGTGTGGCGAAAGGTTCGACAGGTCGGTGGAAAACTTCCTTCGCCGTATGTCTCCGGGCTTCTGGTAAATTGACATTTTCTCTCCTCACCAGAAGATATAGTTGAAGAATTGGCCTTTCACTAGGATCATATCTCCAGCTCCTTACACTACTATCCTAGCATTCTGAAGACCAAAAGAAGAATGGAGAACTGCAGACTAGATTTCTCGAGTCGCGTGGAGGAAGACTACAAGGCTCCTTTCTCCATGGATGAATTTTCCTGTGCCCTCGCTTGTGCAAAAGATTCTGCTCCACGAGCAGACCTGATGGATAATCAAATGCTTAAACACATATCGGAAAATGCTCGTTCTTTTCTCCTCCTCAATTTCAACTTGATTTGGGATAAACATTCCTTGCCAAGGATTTGGCATGAATCTATTGTTATTCCAATGCATAAAGAAGGAAATGACAGAACAATCCCTTCACGTTAATGCCCAATCTCGCTTTCAAGCTGTGTGTGCAAGCTTTTAGAACGAAAAGTAAACAAACGTCTGGTGTGGCTCCTGGAGGAAAGGAATCTATTTGCATCTTTTCAGTGCGGTTTCAGGAAGCACAGATCGACCATGGACCACTTAGTCTCCCTTTCCACTCATATATCTACTTCTTTCGTACTACGACAACACCTGGTAGCATTTTTTTCGACATCGAGAAAGCGTATGTCACCACCTGAAGGTACGGAGGTACATTCTTCGCACCTTCCATTCTTGGGGCCTTAGGGAACGGCTCCATTCGTTTCAAGTACATTTTCTTTCCTAAAGTTCTTTCCGCGTGTACCGTGGTGACAAATTATCCTCAAGTCACTAGTTAGAAATCACTAGTTAGAAAAAGGTGTTCTCCCGAGATCAATTCTAAGAGTCACTATTTGTCGTTGCTATTGTAACGTATTAGCCAGCGTGCCTCATGGCATCTATTTGGGGACGCTTGGAAAAGGATTAGCCTAGCCACAGGAAGTAGGGTTTTTCCGTAAAGGGAAGAACGCGGAAACGGGAGACACAAGGCTTTGGGAGTTTCCGGCTTATAGAAGCTTTTCACTGTTATAACAAGCGAGGGGGTGGCGTGACGTAGTAGGTCACGTGGGCCTCGCCTATATAACAGCGTGTACAGAGCCAGTGGGTAGGTTCTGGAGACGGTGGGAGAACCTCGTGCGTGTGCACAAAACTTGGCGCCAAGACGGTGCATATGCGAGCCAGGCTCGCGAGGCTGGAGTCATTAGTTGACGAAGGCTGCGGACTTTGTCCTTGGGTGACTGCGGTCACGGGGGAGCGATGCTGTGTGCGTGCTCCGAGGTGAAGAGTGGTTGAGTGCCACGATTCACGCCGATTCTCAATCGGATAAGATCGCTCCTGCGATCGAGGCAAACCAGCCGTTGGTGCGCCAGAACGGACTTTGTGTCCCAGCGTGACATCCGGTCACAGAAGCTAGGCTTTGTGCGCGCTTCAAAAGTAGGAGTGGCGAATGCCACAATCAAAACCATCTTCAATCGGGTTTTGGATCGCTCCCGCGATCAGGGCATAGTAGGTCTATCAGAGCTAGGGTTTAAGTAGATTATAAAGTGTATATATTTGTTTTGTTTTCTTGTTAATAAATATATTTGTTATGCGAAAGCTCTGTGTCTGTGGTCGCTGTGAGTATCCATGACGTCACACTATCAATAGTATCGAATCAGTAATTCGAGAGCCTGTGAAAGAATCGCTCTTCGTTGATGACTTTGCTATATTCTGATCCTCGAAGTGCATGCAAGTTATTGAGAGGTAGTTACAGCTTGCCCTGAACAAACTGCAAGAAGGGAGCGATAAAACTGGATTGAATTTCTCCACCCGAAAAGTTGCTTGCACGTCTGTAGATTATATCACCTCCATAATCAACCTGATCTTTTTTGGAGGAGTCATCAACTTCCCTTCGTCGATTCTGCCACTCCTTGGCCTGGCATTGACAAGAGTTTAACATGGCGAAAGCACATTTAAAAATTGAAGAGACGCTGTGCATCTGCATTGAACCTCCTTCGCCTCCCTTACAGGTAGATAATGGGGCGCAGACAGAGTATGTCTCTTGTGCCTACATAGGACTGTCATCCGTTCTATCTTAGATTATGGGTGTATTATTTATTTGTCAGCGTCTCCATCGACCCTCCGTTCATCGAATACCATACACAATGCTGGTATACGGAATGCCGGTGTCAGCACAGGCGCGTATCGCACGAGTCGTATTGAATGCCTATTGGCGAAGGCTGGTAAACCATCCTTGAGCCGACGGCGAGATATTGTAATCGGCTC